CTCTCTCTCTCTCTCTCTCTCTCTCTCACACACACACACACACACACCTGTCAGCCTTCATTCCCTCTCACTCCAGGCACCTTACTCACAAGGGGAAGTGAATCCAGCATTAGAAAAGTTCTGCAAGTAAAGGGACTTGCATTTGCAGCTCCTGCAAACTTCCCCATGGCTGGATTTCCCCCCCCCCACTCCACCAGCGTTCTTTCCTTCTCGCTCCTTGTGACTTTACTCACAAGGAGAAGCGATACTTCTAGTGTCCATGAAGAATCCAGCCTTGGAACAGTTTTGCAGGTTAACGGACTGCTGCTCCGCCCACAGTCATGTGTTTTCAAGTGGCTGCTTGAAAATGCATGGCTAGGGCGGGGGAGCAGTCCTCCTTTAAACTGGGGCAGCGAGCTTCGGGTGGGCGGGGCAAGTGAGTGAGCGGAAACTGGGCACTGTGCCACCCCGTGCTCCATTTTTTGCCTTCCTGGGCCCCAGGAAACCTTCTGGGAGCAAAAGCACCCCCCCCCCAGGAGGCTTCCCTGGGACCCAGGAGGCAAAAAAGTAAACCATGGGAGAGGGGTGCTGTAAAAAAAAAAAGAAGCCACGCCCACTCAGTCACATGGCCACACCCACCTAGTCATGCCCACCTAGCCATGCCCACAGAACCGGTTGTTAAAAATTTTGAATCCCACCCCTGACACCAGCTATTATTATAGTCTTTCAGTTTGGTGGCTCTATTTTAATAATAATAGCTGAGAATCCTATTCATACTAATTCATCTAACTGATCTTCTTCCCCATACTATTTTCCAGGTCCCCATTTGGCTATATTAAATGAGAATAGGTATATTAACTTCACTTTAAGTACCTTTGCTCCTGGCATGGCAGGTATACCTTCATGGCCATCAACTCCAGGTAAACCCTGGAAGAAAAAATAGGACTGTATTTTATATACTGGTATCATGTAAGTCACACTGGTTCACTTAAGTCGCACACATTTCTGCCTGGCCTTATAAGGCAACATAAACCTGTTGGAAATATAAATAATAAATTCCAATACGCCTAAGAATCATGGCATACATACAGTTTCTCCTTTTGGCCCAGGAAGTCCAGTAATTCCTCTAATGCCTTGTGGACCCTAAAAATAAGAGATATTTTTTGAAAAACAAATGCATGTTGAAAGTATGACACGCATATCAATAGATATGAATAAAGCAAAGGAAATGACACATTTCAGATAATTCTTAAGATTGGATATCGGTATTTCTTCCCATCTATTTTTGCTTTCTAAGTTATTTTTCATGCAGATTTCAATATATTCTGGCTTAATTTCATCACAGAGTAAGTCTTGTTAAAGGCAATAAAACTTACTTACCCTTAGATATGTGGATATGTGGATATGTGTCATGAAACTCTGTACAAACCCTATGGGACATATTTGGGCTTGTATTCCAGTAAACGTCCCTAGTTTTAGCTGGCAAACTGGAGATGCTCTTATTTTTCTTGACTATTACAAGGCTATTAAAAACTTACCCTCTCTCCTTTGGGGCCTGCTTCTCCCAGTGAACCTCGTGGTCCCTGATCACCCTGGAAAGGAATGTAGATAGTGATTAGCAATCTCTGAGCAATTCCTTGAAGCAACCACATCAACTCATCAGAGTGATTATCAATTACAGGAAATGCACATTGACTCCAATTGTAGCTTCTCATATTAGGAATCTTCTGCATGTCTAACTTGACCTGGAGCAAATATTCTCCTCTAATCATTTTTCCAGATTTGGACACATGACACCATAGTCAGTTTGTCCACCAAGACAGACTCTACTCATCTTTCCTGGTTTCGCATCAAAAGCAATATTGTTCCACTTCAATACAAAGCATGCCCAACAGTCAGTCTTCTTTAAATTGTCCTGAAACCAAAAGGCCACCTTTCCCATTCTCTTAGGAACCCAGGAAGGAGAAGAGAAGGAAAAAGCAGATCTTTGGGGTGCCAGTTCTGAGGCTCCCAAGAGACCATATCCCCAGAACAGAAGAGTGAACCTTTATCTTTCAGAACCTTTATCTCCCTCTTCCAAATCCCCAAAGTACAGTCACTCCTCCTCAACTTATACTGTATGTTGCTGCACTGAAGTGTTAAGGCAGCAGTCCCCAACTTTTCTGGCTCTGCAGAGTTGCAGTGGGAGGAGGGATGGTTTCGCGTGCACGCCTGCTGCTTGTGCAAACGCAGTTTCACACACTTGCCCGCCACTTACGTGGCCCATTTCCCAACTTACTGGACCCTTGTGTTAGGGCACTTGCTGTGGTATCTTGAAAATTAGCACTTGATTGTTTTGAATGACAATTGAGATAAAGGATTTTGTTAATGTGAGGGTGAAGACAGTTTAATTCTATCCTGAGGCCATCAGCAGGCTAAAGGACCTTAGAATTAGGCAAATTAACTCACAGCTGCCCCAGGAAGACCTTGGGGTCCAGGCTCTCCATCAAAACCACGAACACCCTATATTGTAAAGACCAAGAAGAATGATTATTACAATTCAAGATCTCAAAATATTCCATTTTCTTAGCAGTTCCAATAAGGACAAACTCAGTTTTAAATTTGTCAAGACTTGGTTCCTACAACCCGTTCTATTCCCTTTGAAGTGAGTAGCACTCCATCTTAGAGAAAGCCTATTAAACACTGAATCTAATAGGATTGTATGGTCAATTACAAATAGAAGTTGAATAGTGAATGTGCTGCTTATAGCAAGAGTGTGTTACTCTTATTTGATGAAATATTGAGATAATATTGATATCATTACAACAGTGAATCATAATGATAATGCTTAAAAATGGCAAAAAGATGGGTTATATATATTTTAATCCCCCCATCATCTAGAGCAGGAGTATTCAACCTTGTCAACTTTAAGACTCAACTCCCAGAATTCTCCAACCAGGCATTCCCCAACCAGGTACGCCAAAGTTGGACATCCCTGATCTAAAGGGAGGTTGCTTAGAGCATTGCACATCTGTAGCAGTTGGATATCCAGGCCACAAACCCTAAAAATGTAGAATTGGAGAACCTGTATCTTTCAGAAAAATGGGAATATATATTCAGATTTATAGCTTATTATACAAGCTTATCTACGTAAGTCCTAGTGAGAAAACAAGCATAATGTTAAAAAGAAAACAGTTCTAATATTAATATTAAGAGTTCTTATTACACTTTCAGTGAGTAAATATTCCTGTGACTGTTTTAGTTTCATTCTTAAACTGCAAACCATAAAAATGTAGAAATGAAGAACCTTTATCTTTCAGATAAATGGGGATATATATTCAGATTTATAGATTATTATACAAGGGTATCTACATATGTGCTAGGAGTAAAATACACGTAAGTTTAAAAAATAAAAGTTCTAACATTAATGTTAAAAGTTTTTACCACATTTTAAGCAACCAAATATTCCAGTGACTGTTTTAGTTTCATCCATATATAATAGAATCATAGATACTAAACAATAGGATAGGCTAACCTTTTCAGCACTGAGTGCCCAGAGTGCATGCGTGCGCACCTCCCAAAATGCAATGTGTGTGTCCCCTGCACATGTGTGCACCTCCTGTGCATGGGCCTCCCATGCATGTGCCCCACCCCAATGCATGCACACACGTTCCCCATGCATGCGCCCCACCCCCACGCATGAGTGTGCATTCTCCGTGCACACGCCCCACCCCAGAGACCCAAAGACCAGCTGGCCGGCAGGAGGCACACACCCATGTGTGGAGGAGTTGAGCTGGGGCGACGGCTTACATGCCCATAGAGAGGACTCTGCATGCCACTTCTGGCACCCGTGCCATAGGTTCTCCATCATGAGGATAGGCTATCCTTTGGGAACTAATGACCATGCTTGTTCTCTGAGGATCAGATTGAGGCATGTACTCCTCAATGTCTATTCAAGGCAAGGTGAAGAAGCAGAAATGCAAGATTCACCATGGACATTTCAAGTAATATCTACCATGTCCTTATGAATGTCCTCACATATCAATTCTTCTGTAAACCAGGAAACCTCTCGATTAATCAACATTGCCAAACAATTTGAAATCACAAATGTATAGCTGATGCTACTTACTTTATCTCCTTTAGAACCCATAATGCCAATGGAACCTCTTAACCCTTGAGGTCCCTGAAATGCAAAAGATTCATGAAAATATGAAGCTCATGTACATGACTGATCACATTCAAATATATGTTCACTTTTCTGGGATAAAATGGTTTTTAAACCTCTTCTATGCCCATTCTTGTGGAAAAAAAATGTGTCTTACTTTAAAGCTTTTCTGTTGATTCATTTTTTTAAAAAAAAATCCCAAAGTCTTAAGAAAATTAACCCTGCCTGTTCTTTTGAAGCTGAAGCTCAAATTCTTTGGTCACCTAATGAGAAGAGAGGACTCATTGAAAAAAGACCTTGATGTTGGGAAAAATTGAAGGAAAAAGGAAAAGGGGACAGCAGTGGACGAGATGGCGAGATAGTGTCATCGATGCAATGAACATGAATTTGAGCAAACTTTGGGAGGCAGTGGGGGGACAGGTCAGCCTGGTGTGCTATGGTCCATGGGGTCACAAAGAGTTGGACATGATTAAGCGACTGAACAACAACAAAATCTTAAACATTATATATGTTTTTTGTCTCCATTGTATGAACTCAGTACTTCCAAAATGATGTACTGTGAGTCATCTTTTGTTAAATCAGCTCCCAGAAATAAAATCACCTTCCTTTTTGTTACTATTCAGAAGATTATGAAATGTTGGTTATACTATGGGGATGCAACTAATGACATGTTGTTACTTTAATTTTACGTCATGTATAAGATGTGCTGTAGAATTTATTATTTATCAGTTGTGAGCGCTGCTTAGATTTGCTTTTGATTGGTGTTGTGTGAAAGTGCTTTGTCTAAAGAAACAGCAAACAACATACATACTTTGGCACGACAAGTAGTCCTCCATTTCAACCATTAGTGACCATTCAAAATTACAAGGGCACTGAGAAGAGTGACTTATGACAGTTCTTCACATGACCATTGCGACATCCTCTTGGTCACATGATAAAATTCAGGTGCTTGGCAACTGGCATGTATTTGTGATGGTTGCAGTGTCCTGAGGTCATGTGATTCCCTTTTGTGACCTTCTGTCAAGCAAACTCAGTGGGGAAGGAAGCCAGCTTCGCTTAACAACCACATTACTAACTTAACAACTGATGTGATTCACTTTACAAAATGTGGCAAGAAAGGCTGTAAGATGGGGCAAAACTCACTTAACATCTCTCTTGCTTAGCATTGGAAATGTTGAGCTCAATTGAGGCCATAAGTTGAGGACTACCTGTATGGGAAGATGACTGGGGCTCAGGCAATGCTGCTTCTCACATCGCCCAGTTGTCAGTTTCCTTATTCCTATTGTGAATGGCATTCCCATTTATTGTTATTCTTTCGATCTGGTTCAAGACAGGTAACAAATTAAGCATTTGGTTTCAACACTGAATGTGCTGAAGAAACATCCAGGTAGTTCTGGTTTCAATTAGAACTGAATCCAGGAGGAAAATGACTCCCATTAGTTTGATCGTGAGAACAGTCATGACAACATAGTCAGATCAGGAATTTATAATGATAAGAGGTAGATGGCTATTGGCTTCACTTAGTTCCTTACATCTCAATATGATGAAACACAACCAAAAAGTTAAATAAAAGGAAATACTTACTGGAGGGCCCTGTTCTCCGATGTCACCAATTCGTCCTTGTTCACCTTCTTCTCCCTAAAATATACAAGGCACAAGTTAGTTAATAACATGTTCTAAAAATTAGCATACATAATTTATTCTGTTTCCCTCAATATTATCTATTGTATTATTTATGTATTTCCCATATATGTAAGCATGGAGGCAGCACACATTAAATAGAGCTGACTTATTGGAGAAAGACTGTAACCAGGCAATAAAGGGAATGAAAAGCTGATGGTACACAATATCACACCAAATCATTATTGCTTTCAGCCACGGTTGATCAAACAAACTATATGCCAAAGCATAAACTGTAGTTTACAAATCACAAGATTTGTTCCCATGTCATAAAGAACAAAACAAAACAAAGCACATTGTTTTTAGTGATTCAGAGGGCCATCATTAGCTGCAGTAACTAAGTACTATGAAATTGGTGGAGAAATGCTAAGATTAATTCAAAGGCTAGTACTATTCCTTTCTTAAACACACAGCAACGTTGAACATTCTTCCTCTATAAACCATCACTATTCCAGCTAATTTGTATGCAGTCATGTTCTACTTCCTCTTACCTTAAAGCCTTGCTTTCCTGGTTCCCCACTCTCACCTTTTGCTCCTTTGTGACCCTAAAATATAAAACAATTTTTTTTCCCACTGATGCTAAATATGCCACTGGAAACATTGCCTGTTTAAAAAAAATGGTTTCTGTATTTTAGCTATGTGAAACCAGTTATTTTCCTAGTCTGATGCCTTCCAGATGTCTTGGACCTCCATTCTTAGAATCCCTTAACCCAAGATCATATCAGCTGGTGTGTAAGCTATTAGAGCTGGAGGATATCAGATTGGAGAAGTTGAAATTAAAACATTTAAATCAGAGTCCTCCAAAGTGTTCAATATGAACCCCCAAGAGTTAATGGGATCACCCACTGTTGCTATTATGGTTGGTCACACAGTCAGCCAGATGTTTAGACTGGTTTTGGCATTTTTATCCACCTTTTGAGTCCTTCCCAAGGAACCAAGATAGGCAGATGTTGTTTGATGGTGTTAAAGATAATGTTGCAGGATGTAAGCTGTTCCAAGTAAAAGCTGCTGTTGCAATTGACTGATGGTGATTTTGTCAATGCCAATAGTGTTCAAGTGTGGCTCCCGTTCTTTTGGCGCTGTATCCAAGGTGCCTATTGCTATTGCTACTATCTTTGCTTTCTTTTGCCACACTCATTCTATTTCTATTTGCTGGCCTTTGTATTTTTGTAATTTTTCTCCAGTTCTTTCTCTTCAATTCTGTTGTCTCCAGGAACTGCAACTTCCACTGTCTAGATTTTCTTTTTGTCTTTCTTATTCACATTTGTGAAGTCTGTTATGTGGTACGTATTTGTTTGAAGCCCTTTAGCTTTTTCATTTTCTATGAGTTTGTCTATTTTGTGATCCCACCAGTTCTGGTTTGCAGACAAATGGCATTTCTTGCAGATATTCTGTTGCAGCATGATTGCTACTATACTTGGTTGTGCTGTGTTTGTAGTCAGTCTGTGCGATCTTCTCGCAGCAGTTTAGTCATAGTACTATTACCTAAAATAGCATTTATTAAATTGGGAAATGGTTTTCATATAATGAATGTTTGTTTCATGTTCCAGTGATGTTTAACCTCCAGATTGTTATGATACTGCTATAACATCTTTTGAAACTTATCAACATCCAATCAATATCCAGTCCTACCCAGAACGTATCATGCCCATCCCTTCTCCTACCTTCATACCCATCATTCCAGCAAATCCTGGATGGCCAGCTGTGCAAGCATTTGGACACTAAAAATGAAGCAATGAATTAAGTTAATAAGTAGAAGTCTGGATTAGAGCAAATCTGTTTATCAATTTAATATAATTTAATTAGCATGGCTGTCCACTTTAGAAGACCCTGGGCAGTTTACAAAAGTCACATAGAGACCATTGCCCTACCTCCAGTTTACCCACCAAAACATGCTTTCTGCATAAAACAACTAATTGCCCAATGGCACAAACAGTGGAAAAAATATGACAGCTCCCACGCATATAAATGACAACCACAGTAACCCCAGATCTGGGAATACAGCCAGGTCTTAAGGGCTTTCCAAAAGCCTAGGAGGGTGGCCATCATCCATAAAAAGGAAGATAAATATCTTACCAGTGGATCTCCACCATGGTGGCCAACTGTTCCCTGAAGTAGATTAAGCAAAGTTTAAAATTACGATAGCCATGAATATTGTCAAGCATCGGGTTGAACTTAAGTGAATAAGGCTGGTGGTACAAATCCAAATATGCAGTAAAGGAATTTTTTTACAAGGTCAAGAGGTATTTTCCACCACCAACAGAGGACCAATTTAAACTCACAGACAGAACCAATATTGAAAAACATAGGACCTCTTTCCCTATATCATTGGACTTTGCCTTTGGAATCTTTTCAGTTCAGAATTGCATTCTCCATTCATTGCTTCTGAAATGTAGAAAAGGCCCATTTCTGGCCTTTTGTCTCGATTCAGTAAATGGGAACAACCATGAACATGGGCAGCCTTCATACATTTGCCCTTTTACTCAGAATACATGAATTAATATTGAATTGGATCAACTTCAGCAAAGGGTTCTCTGCACGGTTGCTGGGTGGGCATGGCCATCGTGGACGTGGCCTAGTTGGCCCCCTGCACCATGGTGGGGGAGGCATTTTTGCCCTCCCTGGGATCCAGAGGCTTTCTTCGAGCCTCCAGGAGGGTGAAAATGGCCTCCTTGGGCTCCGGACACTCTCTAGAATCCAAAAACAGGCCCATTTCTGTCCTCCCCAAACTTCTAGAGGCCTATTTTTCACCCTCCCCAAGCCTCCACCCATACCCTGCACTTACTTGCATCCAAAACAAGGCACATGGGGACTCCTAGGAGAAGCAGGGCAGGGTGGGTGGAGCCATCTAGGAGTGGGATTTGGGGGGGGGAGTTTCTCCAAACTGCACAGAATCTTAGCTAGAGGCTCTCCCAAATCCCTGAAAACCCCCAGCAGCCCATCCCGATGAACTGGCACCCTTTGAAAATAAGCCGGAGCAACCTGTATCTAAAATAGGGTGCAAAGAGCCATCTGACAAGCTATGCAAAGCTTGGTACAGAGTGTGATTTGTCCAGCTGTTGGGTGCTGGAGTTCTGCAAAAATTTAATGGAGTTCCATGAGAGACTAACAGAGGGGGAAATAGCACAGCCAGGGTATCCATAGCAATCAAAAAAAAAAAAAACAGAAGAAAGAGTGGGATTTGTTAACTGCCATTCAGAAGTCACCCCCTTTCCAAGAGTCTTTGTGGTCATGACAACTCAGTGCTTTGCCTCTTGGTTAAGAGTTTCTGGAATTTTATTTTTACTAAGAGATTCTGCAGCCTGAAACATTTAAAATTTCCTCTTTGAGAATATCTGTCAGGTGCAAAAGATCAGGTCTACACATGAAGGTCCAATTAAACTGATTTATGGCTGCTTACGCCTATGCACAGGAATATCCTCAACTAATGGGTAGCACAATTTTGATGGTAACTTACAGAATTCAAGGGGGTTGGGCTTAGATCACTTGTGGCTACATAGAAATTCTAGGCTCATGCCTCTTCTAACTCTGCCTCCAGGTTCTGCTACTCCTTTCCCTACAATAGCATACAAATTGTTTAAAAAGGTGCTATAAATAAATTGGAGAAGGAGGACTTTGAAACACTTTTTATTTTCAGTAATAATACTGCAAACTTACCCTTGGCCCTGGAGGTCCCGGCACTCCTGAGGGGCCTCTCCTTCCAGGATCACCCTAAACAGTGTCAGAACAGCATAAAAATAAACTGTATATCCAAGTCTCTTAGAAGACAGGATAATGAAAACTAAATAAACTCTACATTGGTTACATTAAGCACCAAAATGTTCTGGGATAGAACAATATTCTGAGGGGACCCAATTAAAAAAAAAGAAGTGTTAATGACAATAGCAAAGGAGATTAAAACCATTCATACCTTTCATTACTTTTACTTCTCAACTGATGTAGGAAACTGATTGCATACAAATGGATTCCTATGTGAAATCCCTTAAATATACACCTTTAATTATGGAAGGGCATAGATAAAGATGAAGAAGAATCAATAATTCCAAAGGAATTGGTATTTCAGAATGGGCAGATTAATTTATGGAGTTTTGAAAGACTTCATTTATTACAACAAAGAAATATCACATATCATTTGCATGTGCAGTTATTTGGGAAGAAAAGCTGAACTTAATTGGATTCGCTTTTTAATCTCTATCAGTTGGAATGAGCTGTAAAACCTTTATTATTCATATAAGCAGTCATACGAATGGCTACTTGTACAGTAATTGTAAAGTAATATTCCCAGATGATGAGACCTCACCACATGAGAGAATGTTAACCAATCTAATCTAGTCTGTATTCAATTGAGTTCCAATAAATGATACTTATAGGAATTAAGAGCTTTTTATGTAATTAAGTAGAACATAACAAACATAATAAGAGTGGTATAGGCTTAAACCAAAGGTCTACTTATTCCACAGAAGACAACAGGCAATGGACTAAAGTTAAAGTATGCATCTTCCCTTAGACATTGGAATAATATTGGTGACATCCTATTGCAGAGATCGTGCAGATTTCCACAATCTGTGCCCTCTGGTTGGACCTTCTGCCTACAACTAAATTTCTAAAAATTATCAGGTTTGGATTGGCTAGTACTGTCTTTCCCCGAAAATAAGACCCAACTAGAAAATAACCCCTAGCATGATTTTTCAGGATGCTCGTAATGTAAGCCCTACCCCCAAAATGAGCTCCAGTTAAAATCGTCAGGCAGATGGACGCATTTGCTACTGTGTTTCCTTGAAAATAAGCCCTAGTGCATCTTTTGGAGCAAAAATTAATATAAGACCTGGGCTTATTTTGAGGGGGAAATGGGTACATATTTACAATTGGAACAATCCTTCAAAGATAGACTTAAAGGGTAGATTCATTTTAGTGTGTTCAAGTATAATAAATGTGTCAGCCATTACTGAGGGATGTCTTTCCTAAAAGCATGGTACAAGTTTTAACAAGCGGGGCAAATACTAATCAGTGATTTAATGCAATATGGAACAAAGTACTCACAGGTGGCCCAACTCTTCCCACTTCTCCTGGAAGTCCTCCTATACCAGGAGGACCCTGTATTGAAAAAAAGATAGAAACTAATTAAACTTCTCATAATAGGGATTGGCAACTTTCTTGTAACCAAGATCTGTGCTTTATTATTATTACTATTTTTTTCATCTCTGAAGAACAGCAAAAGTTATCACCTTGGATGGGGTTTTAAAGAGACAAAATATCTGATTTATGTCTTAGTGCAAGATACCTATTTTGTACTCCAAATGCCCAAAATTGGAGGGGGAGGGAAATCCCATCCAACATTAGGAAGTGTTGGGTTTTTTAAAGTGTGAAATTGGTTTCTTAAACTTTTTTCAAGAGTTAAGGTCTTTTTCATCTCTTTAAAAATACCCTCCTCAAACAATGCAAAAAGCTTGGACCATCAAAACAATGCTGTGGGTATCCAAGGGCTAACCACCCTTGTTTTGAAAATGTTGCCAAGAACACTGTGGAGGCTTGTTGAGGTGGTTATTGGGTATGTGCAGACTGTTTCAAAGTGCAAAGAAAAAAAAATCTACTCACAGGAGGTCCAGGATTTCCTTTTCCCTAAAATAGAAAAAAAACAAAGTTTTTAATTATTATTTTTATATGTTTAGTTTTCAACTCAAACCAACTGTAGATATATTCAGAATGGAAAAACAAAGATCAACATTTTAACTGGGAACATAAAATATTGTTTTCATCTCTCCAATTTGTTGAGTTAGCAAAAAATTTCAAACAGTTTTAATTTTCTTTGAGACAGATGTTGAATGTGATCATTTAGAACAGACAAAGCAGTTTTCTTGCCTGATTGATCTATCCTTAAAAGTACAACTTCACATTTTAAAATGCAAGTTTCATAGTTATTCCCACACTATCCTAGAAATGACCACATTTTTCTACAGAAATTTATTCCGGATTGTTTCAACGTTTATTTTCAACAGGCACAAATCTATTTTCTTTACCCAAAGGAAGGAGGTTAGACAAGAACTCCACTATGCAAAGCTTACAAGAAGATAGAATGGGCCCAAGCACTGAAAGCGGTGATGATTTCACAGTCAATTTGAAAGATCTCCTCTAATTCTTCGTTTGAAATACTGAGAACATTTTCCATACTTCCATTTTTTTTTCTCACTGAAGTGAAGCTTTCAACCAGAGGAGCTACTGATGGATATATTCTTTTCCATTTCAGCCCTAATGGCTCTCCAGCCTAAACCCCATGATCATTGCCATGACCATAGCAGCACCTTATACAAGTAAAAAGGATCAGTTCATTTGCAGTCTGCTGCAATTGCTACTGCTGGTGCGTATCTTTGTGGTACAGTATTCAGGGATGGGTTTCTACCAGTTCTGTCCATCTGTAGAACCAGTAGCTCTGAAGAGCAGCAGACATAGAACTGGTTCTATGTCTGCTGATGATTTTGGCCACCCACCCACCCAGGCTCTTACCTCATCTTTATTTCCTGATTTTTCAACTTCAGCTGCCGAACGAGGCACAGCTACAGTTTAAAAAGCAGGAAAAAAGTCCTTTTTCAAAGGCTGCTTCTCTGCACGCAGAGTGCTGATGATGATTTACAGGCACGTGCCGGCAGCGTGCAGGAAAGCACATCATAAACCACCAACCTCGTAAATCACCTGAACTGGTAGTTAACCCTGTCGGATCCCACCCCTGATGGTATTCCTCTCATAAATATTGACCATAATACCCATCTGAATGATCTGGGAGAGTGGGGATTGGAAGCAGAGATGGTGAACCTATGACAGTGATGACTAGCCTTTTCCACGTTGCTTGCCAAAACTGTGCATGTGCAATGCGCACGTGACTCCCCCCCGTGCATTTGCACGCAACCCGCTGCATGTGCACCACGCACCTCTGCGCATACACATGCGACCCCCCCTCACCACATGCCTCTGTGCATGTGCATGCAAACCCCCCGAACGCTGCATGCCGAACGCATGCAGATGCGTGCGGGTCTCCCCCGGTGCATGCGTGGTAGGTACCCGACAATCAGCTGGCTGGCAGGGGAACGCGCATGCATGTGCAGTGGGGCTCTTCCATGTGACCTCTTGCATGCCAGCAGAAGTGGCTCTGTGTGCCACTTCTGGCACACGTGCCATAGGTTCGCCGTCACAGACCTATGACATACACGTGATGACAAGCCACAATGTTTTGAGTGAAATGTTTGCAGCATTCACATTTCAGCAATCAGAGAAAAGGGGATTGACTTATTTTCTAAAGACACCTGAGGATAGGACAATTAGCAGTGAGTGGAAGCTTGTTAAAGATCTAGATCTAGAACAATCTAGAACTAAGGTCGAATTTCCTGACAGTAAGAATGATTAATCAATGAAACAGCTTGTTTTTCAGAGTTGTGGGTGCTCCATTACTGGAGATTTTCAAAAATAGATTGACACCAGGGGTGGGATTCTACCAGTTCGCACCTATTTGCTAGAACTGGTTGTTAACATTCTAAGCAGTTCAGAGAACCGGTTGTTAGAAGAAATTACTGGCCTAATCCTGTAAGGAAGGCAGGAAGGAAACATTCTGGTGTTGCTTACAGAAACTGCCTCTCCGTTAACCCTTATTACATTCTTGGCAGGACTAGACTTCCTGTCTCAGGAACATCTCTGGAGTTTTTTTCCCCTCCTTTGCTGGTACTTTGCTTGTGTGGAGTGACCATTCAAAGTTACAATGGCACTGAAAAAAGTGACTTATGACCATTTTTCACACTTACTACTGTTGCAGCATCCCCACAGTCATGAAAGGCCAGGCGAGGAGATGCATGCCTCAATGTGAGTGATATTGAGTTGGTCACACCCAGCCAATAACATGACCACCAAGCCATGTCCACCCAGTCACATGACCACCAAGCCACACCCACCAACTAAGTCACGCCCACAGAACCGGTTATTAAAAAATTTGAATCCCATCCCTGCTAACAACCATTTGACCAAGATAGTATAAGGTCTCCTGCTTTGAAAAGGAAAACCTTCCAGACTTATGATTCAATATTATATTTGCCAAAATCGAAAAACTATTCTCAAAAGCACGGACCATTCTCATGCAATTTAGGGCTCCTGCAAGAGAATGGAGCTTTCACACAGCCTCCAGAGGCTCCAAAAAATCATGGAAGAACTGTGCTTTCATGCAGTTTTGGGAGGCTGCACAGATGTCATGGAAGAGCATATTCCAAAGTTGCTTCAAGAACAAAGGCCTCATGGGATGCAGAACAGCCTCGGGTGGGCCGCAGGGGCCTGTCAGCAGAAAGGAATTGTCATTTGTTTAGTCTGATGAAAGAGCTCGTCATGGTTGAAACTGGGGAAGAAATTCTATTCCTCAGTAGCTTCTCTGGGACAGATTGGTCCAAAACTTCATTTTAATAAAGAAATTACAGCATGGGAAAATGGTTTTTAATTACTGTCAACAATGAATTGAAAGATGTTTCTAATGATGTTCCTGATGTATCTCTCCTAAGAGAATGTGGTTGTGAAATGACAGTGGCATTCTGACTTGGGGTGGAGCAATGATGTTCAACTGTGTATATCTAGCACCCTGATCACACCTCACACCAAACTGACAGATGATTTGCCCCAGCAATTTCACGATGTTTAACAGCATGAAGAGAAACAGAAAGGCCCCATAATCTTCATGCTGTTAAACATTGAGTGAGGACATTGCATTGATTATCAGTTTGCTTCCAGGTTCAGTTCAGAGCACCGATTATCACCTCTAAAGTCCTGCAGAGTTTATTTCTCTCTTTTTGTATAATTTCGTTAAGAATTTTGAAAAGAAGATTAAAAACTAACAAGAACTAACAATATAAAGCCAAGCCAAGAGAGAAAGGAAAACGACAAAAATGCGAAAAGAAAAAATGAAAAGAAATACAGAAAGAAGTAGCTTTCAGTTTCTTTGCAGCAAATATTTGCAATTACCAAATTAACCTTCTACACTATGGTCACACAAAAAAAAGGAAAGGTCTCTTTTTTTCTATTCTCTTCTTTTTCTAATCATCAAAGCCATAAATCATAAATCTTCTGTTTCATCCAGAAAATCCATAAAAAGTGTCTAGTCAGCAGTCAATGTGAATGTTGTCTTCTCTCGAATCAAAGAAGTCAGTTTGGCCATCTCTACAAGCTCCACCTTCTTCACCAATGGTTTCTTCATTGTGGGTAGTGTCAGATTATTTCTCAGGTATTTACAAGACTACCTCTTCCATGTCAAATCTTGGGTATTCCTTGAAAAGGGAAATCTGAGCATTTCCATCCCACATGAAATGAAGAGGGTGAGTCCTGCTGACTTATTTGTGAACACCTTCCTTCCAGAGCTACAGAACATCCCTAACATCTTAACCTTTCAAAAGGATTTATACCTCATTCTTCCACTGGGTGTTTGGAGACCAATGTGATAAGGTTACTTTCAGTTAATTCATGTGGGGAGGATGATATTTATATTTTATGCTTTTCTTGCTCACAATCTAATTCACTTTGAATCTTGGGAAGTAAGTGGTCCACAAAATATTGTATCAATAAAGAAATATAAGAATACTGAATTTGTGCCAGATAATATGACATAATAGCCCAGCCAACACCAGAATGTCATGTGGGAAACTACCTTACTCTCGTTTTACTTATGCCTTTTTTCACCCATATTGTGCTTTATAAATCGATTTATACAATGGCATGATCTTCTCATCATTATGGAAAGGTATGACATGTAATTTCACCATGAACTAGGCTGAGTTGAGTTACTTAGCAAGCCCATGCAGTAGAAAAGGAACATATCAAACTTCAAAAACAGTGGTTTTGGTTTTGTTCAACACAATTACTGGAACAATAGTTCATAGTGTGGGGTATGTTTTAAGTGCCTCCAACTTATATTTCACCTCCACCAGTTTTATTATGTTCTTTTCCCAGATATTCCAGTGTAACAGAGTTGTAAAATTCAATGACTTTCATCAGTTCAGCTTTCTTAAATTGGCAGATATTGCAAATATTCTTGGCAGTTGTTACCACACAATCTATTGGAAAACCAGCCTCTTTGAGAACTTTCTCATAACTTTCTCATAGGCCTTTTATCATACCATAATTCACTTTCCTTGTAGATCATAACACTGCATTATATTTTAGATAACACTGTTCTACTGATATTCCTATCTCCATTTCACAGCAACCTTTGCCCATTTAATTAAACTAACTTTAACTTTTAAAAAAGGAAAGAGCCCATCAAAAAAAAGCCCATAAGGCAGAGGTCCCCAAACTTGGCAGCTTTAAAGTTGCCAAGTTTGAAGGCCTCTGCCATAAGGAATTGGTCATCTCCACCTTCTTCACCAATGGTTTCTTCAGTGTGGGTAGTGTCATCCAGAACAGCTTTGACCAACAAAGCTGGTCCTTTCATTAGGTGGTGTCTGTCTTTCTATCCTCTTTACATATTTCATTTATCGCCACACAATGTTTAATTTTGACTGCTTCGTTGTACTTGCACCTGTTACATAAATGGCTATGATAATAAATAGGTAACAGAAAACGAGGAAATGTGGACTTAAGAAAAAGATGATAAATGCATAACTATATTCTTAAATGCAAATGGTTGCCATGAGAAAGCTAGAGTGGGAGCAGAAATATGGTAGTAGGTGTATATCTGCAGGTGGAATGTAAAATGTCAAAATATGCCTATTTAAAAGACAGGGAGTCAATTGCATAAGCCACCATCTTGAGATCTCTCTCTCTCTCTCACACACACACACACAGGAACAGCTGCCCCTGCTGGTAGAAGCACTTATTATTTTAACAAAAATCCCACACGAAGAGTAATTTTATTGGAGGGTAATCCTCCCCCTACCCCACTCATTCTAACAAAGCTTTTTCCTTTGTAGTTCTCCAACGTTTATAGTTTTCTCTGAGCATCATTCAGAGAGATGTGTCTATTTAATCCAGAATCCTATTCTAGAACTCTTTTAATGCATTTTAATTTAAATATATTTCCAATTAGTGCTTGCTTTACAGTTCCTCTGATTTTGTCAACATGGCAAAATCTCTTTGTTGGACTGAGTAGGGAGGGAAGAGAGTTTTACAAAATTCCTGTTTCAAATTTCAGCACTTTCAACTGAAAAGATCCTATTGTCAAATCTTATTCACAAATAAAAACAGCTTCCTGCTGGAATTTAAGCTCTACTATCAACTCAAGCTATTTTCTGGTATTAAGTAATACGAAGGCCACAAAGACTAATATCCCCTACCAATTTCAAGACAGGAGATTACTCTTTGAACTCTTCCATGGATGACTGGAAACTTCCTCCAGATTTATTGATGCATTTTTTTGTAATTGATCTAATTTTTACAGAATAGTTAAGGAAATATATTTCATAATACCAGTTGTTAAAAAAAGATACCATGTAAAAATCAATGACTTACAGGAAGTCCACGGCCTCCAGGCAAGCCCACTTCACCCTAAAAATCATAAACGTTACAACATTTCAAATATTTAAAACATTTATGCAAGTTCTTGTTTGTTTGTGTTACTTTTTGTTTAAAGACAAGGCAGAGTACAAGAATTGAGGAGATGCTTTAGGCATGAAAACCCAGGTGAGTGATTTTGGGCAGGTCTTCTCTCTCAGCCCAAGTCACCTCACAGGGTTGTGCTTGTGGGGGAAATAGGAGACAGGAGAATTAAATTAAATTACTTTTCTTATTAAATTTAATTAACTACGTTTGCCACCTTGAAGTGTGGATAGATAGATAGATAGATAGATAGATAGATAGATAGATAGATAGAT